CAAACATTGAACTTGTTGATAAGAGGAAGCGAGATGAGAATTGTGCAACTCCATTATTCCGCGCTGGTACAAAGGGTTAATAACAAACGATTAAGTGGACTGTATGTATGAAGGGAAATCTTTCTCGTGCCTTGTCTAAAAGGGAAATTGAAAAGAAATGTACGTACAAACTATTTATGGCTTGATTTAATGACAAAAATTAATGTGTAGTATGAACTATTGTATTTTTTGCGGACCGGTAAGGGCGGCCCACTGCAAAATTGAGGTTGACAGGACGAATTAATAAAAGGGAACTTACTTGTGTATATACAAAGACGAGTGCTGGTGGTTGTTCAATTGTCCACTGCGGTGGCTGGACAGGGGACGAAACGAAGGGGGTAAATTGTTCAGCGTTGAACGACGACGAATATTGTATGCGAACATCAATTTTTTTTTTTTTTTAATTTAAACCTGCATCCACCTTTCGGTTATTAGCAGCGGAAATTTAGGTACAATTTGGTACATGTAGATATCCTTAGATCTGTGAGGTAACCTTAATGTCTTTTAAGTAGTTCATAATTTGAATAACGTTTTTTGAACCTTTTAATAGTGTATTTAAGTTATTGTTTATGTTATGTTTTTGTCGGTGTTCACGATGTTTAGCATACCGTGCACCTGTCGCAGAGGGGTGGTGCGCTATGATTTAATAAATAATTGTGCGTCATCGCCGTATGCCCAATTCGTAGTCGCGACATTATCATTTGTTGGCGTCGTTTTATAGGTGTGTCGTTCCATGGTTCCACTGTAGCTTTGACTTCTCTAAGTTTTGAATTGGATTGGTTCCATTCTTGTTGCCATTTTTCGCGCACTTTTCTTTTAAAAAAATGTTTGGTGGCTTGTGCTTTCTTTTAATTTTGAACGAACTCTATGGTTTTCTAACGCGGTGTCCCTACAATCCACCCTTCTCGATTCCCTCCTTTTCCGCGCAGGCTTGCTTTTAAGTAAGTTGGAAGGGAAAACGGAGGGTAACGAAGTAAAGTGGAAAATAGGACAAACGAAATACTAAGGAACAATTAAAATTACAATGGGACGAAACATCCATCTTCGCCAATATTAGACGAAAAAGCCCTAGATAGGAGAGAAAAAAATTTCTTCACCAAAGAAGAAAATACCATATGTGAAATATTTTATGATCTATGATTTGTTTGTTTCTTGTAATCTGTGATATTTCTGTCGCTTGTATTTGTCTATTAGTTTATATAATGTTTATGTATTTATATTTAAGAGCATTTTAACTGTAACTTAAACATTATAAACGTCTATAAATTCGAGATGTAGAACTGCACTATACAGTGGAATTGTAGAGGTCTTGTGAAAAGATACACGCTCCTAAAAATGCTCTTATGTGCGTGTGTGTTACACATAAAATAATACACTATAGTCGTAGATAAACACAATCCAGCACAATACCGAATGTTTTAATGTTCAAGATCCAAAAGTTTTAATAGAACCTAACATTACACTTCACCGATCGTGAAATAATATGGACGTCGTACTAATTCGACTTTCTCATTTGATAGAATATTGGGGTAACAGTGGCGTTACTCTTTGATGGTAGCGCTTGGAAGTATTCGATCACTTAAAATGGATTTAAATCGAAGTGCAAAACAACACACAGTTTTATTGACTTAGAATAGAATCTAATCGCATTGATCCATCGTGAAACAATCTAGTAAAGTGCGTCCTATCTTTTGTGGATCTACCACGTGTGCCCTAATACGCATACATTATCTGCACTAAAGAGTTGTTGATGTATATCTCCTTTGAAAAAGCATCTGTAGAAGTGAAAAAGTGGCAAAGCAATTTCTTAAAAGGATTTCGTTCATTTTTTGTGCGTGTACATATAACGTCGTTTACGTTTTACTGTTGTTTTGAAAATAGCAAGGGGCAAGATTTATAATTAAAATTGAATTTCGCTCATTCACTCGCATATTATAAAATTAGTGAATAAATATGCTTACTAGGGCATGGAAAATTGCAATCATGTGTAACGCGCATCTGGCGCTACCCTCAGTATCAATCATAATTATGTAACAATTTGAATAATACACAAATGCGTATTTGTAACTAGATTTTAAATTACAGTTTCTCTATTTGATTGTAAACTCTGGAAGTCACTCGTGCACTTCATTTTTGTTATCGGGATTGAAATTATCTCAAACGATTGTTTGGCTACAGTGTGTTTCCGAGCACGAACGACATTTTCGAGGTCATCATAGCTCTAAATCCCCGGTTGCTGAGCATTCTCATCCCATCCCATCCCCTTTCTGCCAAAGAAAATTTCGCAAGGGCATCGAGATTTTGAAAACACCTAAACAATTTCAACCGTGAGGAGGGATTAGCCATCCCTCGTCACGATTGAATTCTGCCAGAAAGATTTTTTGCCATGTACTAACCAACAACACCAGGTGGAAAAAATAATCGAGGTACCGGTTTCGTATCCGGGGGGTAGCGTATTTTTCGAAAAAAATTTTCAAAAAGTGCAGAAAATGGGCTGTTTTTGAAGAAAATGATAGAATTGTGGCGTATGTGTTCATTTTTCAATAATTTTAATGTACTGTTTAATTATGGAAATCCTCTTCCCGACCTAGGCACAGATCAAAGTGAAATATCTTTATAAGCTTAATATCGCTACTTTTGTTTGACTAATTGTAATTAATGGCGATATAGATGATTTCTTAATAAAACTTAACCCAAGCAAGTAGGCAACTTCTTAAGCACATCTGTTTAACACAAGTAGGGCTAGGATTTTAAAGGTGAATGTGTACTTGCTCATAATGCAAATTTTAGACGAGGTTCTTAAAAAACCTTTAACCTAGAGAATGTTCTTGAGAAGACTTCTTTAACTTATTCTGTACACTGCTAATTTGGCTAGGTTAAGTGTACAATAAATATACTATATGTATGTACCACAATTATTTTATTAAATAACAATACATGATAAAGGTACATGTCATTAAAGAAATGGGTTTCCTTTGGCAAGTGAAAACGGAAAAAGGAACCTGTAAAGAATGATTGTTAATTAATAGGCGATTAAATTGAAGCGTATTAATTTACAATTTGACGATAATATGAAATCACGGTGCACTGCTCGGTCCTGCCACTGGTTCCTCGGGATCTTCTCCGATAGGAACAGGGGAAGGTGGATAGAGGTCGGCAGCAGCTCGCATGAATTCATGAATAAGGCGAGTTCGAGGAAGAATTCCGCAAGATACCCTGACATATGCGCCTCCCTGGAATTCCTCCTCGCACGTCTCTCCACAGCCTCTCGATATTTTGGGTGTGCGCGCCTGTGTCGGGATCCATGAAGGTCAAGCTGTGGTTAACAGTGAGGTGACGAAAGCCTTCGGTACCTAAACACTGGTAAGAGCACCAACAATCGGAAATGATTGTGGTGCCTAAAAATGTAAACGTTAAAATAAGCATCGCAGTCTGCTACGTACCAGGTCGTATGTGCTCTCGTATAAGCTCAAGCAAGGTATCCGTGGTTCGATCCGGAACTGGAAGGATGAAAACGTTGCCCGAGCCTCGCTCGTAATCTCCGAAGATCCACTGGTCCTCGATTCTTCTCCCACGGTTGTACTTCCTCTTGCCGATCTTCGCTTCGTCGGTCTCGACGGTTACTCCTTCTCCACCTAAAAGAACAGAACGACGTGTTAAATAATCCATACATACCTCGACAGAAACTGCTCCAGTCGACGAAGGTCCTGGACGAAACTTGCAGCTCTTCCATGATAAACCTCTTCTTCGGATGGTGAACCATGAGCCAGCACGCAACGAATCGACACACGATTGGGACGTCCAGGTGAGATCCCTCGAAGAAGGTCCCCTTCTTTGCTGTAATAGAGAACGAACACTTTATAGTCTTCCTCGTTTTCGATACTCTCACCTGACGCTGGCATCTAAAACGAAGTCGGGTGTCTTCTCGACGAAGCGAAGGTGAAGTGTCTGTTTTTTTCAGCAGGTGCAAAGTGAAATGTTGTCTACCGTAACGTGGTGGCCACTGGGTAGAATTGCACCTGCGCACATGATTAATCAGATTATTGATTTATTTACACACATCGCCATCTTCATTTTTGTAACGGGACATTGTATAAAATTTGTTGTTAGCTATTATTTATTATAAATAATTGCGGCGGGGTTTTTAGTATCTTGGGACCCACCCACCCCTTGACCCCTGTGAAATTTGGTTGAAATTGGTGTTACCCCCCGGATAAAAAACTATTGAAAAAATCTATGAATGAGGTCCTGAGTTACTGTTTTTCCAAGTTAAACGTGCATAACTTTTACATGCGACAACCAATTGAACTCAGATTTTGCAACGCATGCCTTTAATGTTTCCTAGCAAAACTTTTGAGGGGGGGGGTACACTTTCTACCGTTCATGGTATGAGTGGTTGGGGGGAGTATTTTATCTTTGATTTTATTTTAAACATCCCAACATATGGAACTATTTTCTACAAACTACCGCCCTTCTTTCTTATCCCTTATCAAAATAGGGGGGAGGGGGCTGATTATATCCTTCGTGGTACTGTGATGAAAGGAATCAACTTCTACCAACCATAGTCCTTCTCCTCGACTCTTTATCGTTAAAGGATTATAATCCCTGATATAAGAGCGGATTGTCGGAGGAGGGTACTCACAAAGAAAAATTAGGAGGTCTGGAAAAAACATATATCCATTGGTAATTTCAAAATATTATAAACGCCAGCCCAACTGTTTATTAAGGTATTTCGGTTTAAAAAATGCGCTTTATCTGCAAAAGATTTGTGCTCAATTTATAGGTGTTTCCGCAGAACACCAGGTGTGTGGTGCCGTAGATTGTGTTGCGTGTGTCTCAATGTGCGCCTTGTCTAATTCGTGGTTTAGGTGCGCGAGACTTAATACGTAACCTAACAGCTAGTAGGTTCAACATGTTATCAAACTTGGAGGGAACCACCAAGTCTATTAGCATGCTGCCCAAATCATCGGTAGTCATCGAGAGAGTATGATGTATGCGTTAGCGTTATTGATCCCTACTTGCACCTCACAACAAAAAATCCTATACAAATGGAGTATTCACTTCTAATGTACCACTGTAAACTCAACACATGTTCCTGAAATCACCAGGATTGGGCTTGGAATGTTATTCGTCACTAAAGTGACCGGATGTCTCTTGTAACGCTAAATGGGTCCAAACGGAATTTCGCCAGGAGCAACAGCGCCCTAGTCGACACTCTTAAGGGAAATCCAGGCGTAATCGTCAGATTCGCGAATTTGCAAACATCAACTGGGACTATATCAAAAAATCACATATACCCTGAAATAACCACGGCCAGAGAAGTTCCGCAGGGTAATTCCAACGGCTACAGGTAGGGTATTAATCAGTCAGTTAACTTCTTCAGCGACCTGGTATTCTACGACAACCCTGTATCCGAAACTTTTCGCAGCTACTGTCGGCCAAAAAATAAAGAAGGTCCTTTCAATATATCTCCATTAGTTATGAACAGAATTGCATGAAAAACAATATGGGCATAGGTTTAGCCATATAATACGCAATTTCAAAAGTTGAGTCTACTCGATTCAACATTCACAGTGCTCTTTTCGCATCTCGACCATTTATGAACCGAATTGCAAGCTTTTTATTTGCACTCAAAATCTTCTGTGGCGACTCTTGCGCCTTTGTGGACGGTAAACCAAATACATGATCATTAATTTCTTCCGTTCTTCGTCCATAGTATAATTGACAACTGCTTACTACAACTATTCAACTAGAGTCTAGAGACCTAAAAACAAATTCACCGGAAACGTGTGAATGGTTATCCGTTTTGCGTCCGGTGATTTCACCGGTCCGTTAAAAAAACGGATAGTGTGAAAGAGCTCTAACGCGTTTAATGATCACGTCATCACTTGGGGTTTTGGTTAAGTGGTTCCAACCTACAACTGATTACCGATATAAACCTCTAAAAAAGTCTAGATCCGGCAAGGATTGAATAACACGATCATTACGAAGATATTGTGTATGTTGTACGATGAAACAATTCACATTGCGGTAGCAACATTACCAGCTATATTTGTGTAAAAGTGTAGAAAGTATTTTTAAAATAATGTCTGCTCATATTTGCAATTTTCTAATAGCGTGACAATTTTCACTTAAGGGAGATTGATACGGCGTAAACACACCAAACTCAATAAATGGTTTCTTAATTATTTTTTATCTCAAAAGAGGACAAAAGGCTCGAAAGTAAAGTTTCGCCATTCTTTTAATCGAGTAATAACATTGTTGATTTATCGTTCTTTTGGTACCTCGCTCGTACTGCAAGACAGTGAAAAGCTTTTTCCACATATTTCCTATTTTCCGCAATATATTCTAATGGAAACAAATAAAGTACGGTCATGATTCCCCACAATCGTCCTGAAACTTGCATCCACCTTGTTAGAAAAAGTATCCGGATTATACCCGCGGGCATCGCCTGATGATCCGACAAGAACTAATACGACTTTTTATTTTCTCATTTTATTTTTCCTCCAACTCCATCCCTCTTAATGAATACAATTCGATTACTAATTTTATTTCCTAATGGAAGAAATTAAATTGGGCCGCATTTAAGAATTTTAAAAGAACGGTATCGATAGTATATGAAGCGGAAAACTGTAACGATGATAAAACACAATTTCCGAGTAAAGGTAATTCGTCTACAAATTATTGAACTGGTAGTATATGAGGGCTCATCAGGCTTTGTTTGCTCGGGTGCGGTAAATACGAGCGCCTGCTTCTACTCCCACGCTCACTAGCGACAATAACGACAACGACTACACGTCGCTCAAGTGAATTGAATGATTTGACAAATACCTACTTTTATGATTTATCACTTGTATGTAATTGAATAAATTTCATCTCAAATCAATGTTCCGCGTTGCTTTCGAATATTCTACTTATTGGAAATTATAGCCATGTTATTAGTGTGTTTGTCATACGTTTGAATGTCTGATTATTTTGCACACGATGTTTATTTCAATATTAGTATGTATATTCTCCTGATCATTTTACCTAAAAGATAATGTATAATACTTATTTTTGAACACACGCAAGGTAATTTCTTTTACTATGTTTTCAAATAGAAAAAAAGAACAAAGTACAAGAAACAATTTTATTCTGTACCTTTGAAGGTACTTAAGGACACTATAATACTACTTTTCGACATAGTCGCCACACTTTAGCGGTAAATTAGCTTTGAAATTCCAGCGTCATAGAATTCTGCCACCAACCAGGTTGTCACGCTCACTCGCAGTTTCATACTGTCTTCAAATCGCTGCGTCGCAAGTCAGGTTTCATTGTTGGAAACGCATGAGGGACAAAAACCGTACTGTATGGTGGCTAAGAGAACACTTTCCACTTGAAAGCGTCAGACTTGTAGAGTTCGACTTTCTGTATGTGGTCAGCCACTGAGCCTGAGCTGAGGAGCGCTCTGACACGCGATAGCTGCGCTCTTAGTGGCTACAGAGCAAAACGTTATCGACTTTGTGGATAGCCCTCGTATTTCATCATGTTTGATTTTATCAGTCAGATGTCATATCCAATTGCCATCATTGCAAGTAAATCTAAAGGTATTTAATGAATTGGTATAAATGCATCTTTTTACAAGTTTCGTTCGCCAGATGTATTAATTAATATTATAATTATTATGATTAGGCGCCGTTCATACTCACGGCCCGTATACTAAACCGTTACCTCAGTCGCAGCAGTTTGTGGGAGCGGAGCGAGAGGGGTACTTACCGCTTGTGACGTACTCTAGCCTGTCGTAGAGTTTCTGACGTTTCTCTACGCTTGACGTTTGTACCACGGCAGTCGTGCACAGGTGTATTGTATTCCTCTTACCCTCATTTGCCTCGTTTTTTTAATTATTGTGTTAATTTTCTTTCAAGATATTGAATTATTGGTTACCTATATGTATTAATTATTATACTAGGAGCGTACCGTATATGTATGCTTCATTAAGCCTGTTAATGATTCGACGATTACTTGAAAAGTGCTTTTACTGTTTCTTTTAGGTAAGTGCACGACTCAAGAATACTGTAACGTTATTTAGAAAATTCTGGTTCGATTTATATCAATATTTATTAAACAAAAACTAAAACACTATAAAATCCGTGCAATTTATATCGATCATTTATATCACACACTTCGAAATTTATATCAGCTTTTCGCGCTCTATGTTTCGTTCGCACTCGATCTCGTTCGATAGTAGACTAACTGCGATGTTCGGTCCGCAACCATTTATACACGCAAGCAATGTAAGTCCAGTACATTCTCGAATGTTCCTACAAATTCCACTATCGCGCGCGTAGAAAATTCCAGAGAATTCTGGAGCATTTCCGTTACAATACATTTAGGAGGAGAAAATTATGCATGTAATACTAATAAATTGGCCTTTGAAAAATTTCAAATTTGGATGTTAGGATGATAGGAAAATGCACATTCTACGCCCCCTTGATAATCTGTAGTTAAATATTCGTTTTCCATTATCGAACACTCTTTGAGGGTATGGTAGCATCAGATATTTTTGTAATGGGAATGCCTCGTCTCCTACAAAATAAAATGGAAAATCTACTTCCTCATTTGGCAGTGGTGTTGACTTGGGAATATGGAGTTTTTCACTGTTCAGCAATCTTCAGCGCCTCAGTCATTATAGCACATCTTCACGTTCAGCTTCAGAGCAGAGAGCAAGCAGAGAATTTTATTACAAGTTTGGGCAGTTGGCTCAATGGGAGACGTAATGTGACGCAAAGTGCCTTACTTTAAAATTTACTTTAAATTTGGCATTTTTGCTTTTTGGATCTTACATGGTGAT